ATACCAGCCAGTTTTTTCTGATGTTGCCGGACAGTTGCAGCGGTTCCGGGGGCTTGACGAGGTCCATTTCGAACGTCAGCATCCCACTTCTGACACCATGTATTGTTTAGCTCAGAGACAAGACGACGATGAACACTTGGCTGGGCCTCGCCATGACGAAAGACCGCTGGCCGTTTATTTGCTGGGCTTAAGTAGCCGCGCTCACAGCGGGGAAGGGGGAAAGAAAGAAAAGGAAGGAACGTAAAGCGCACGAAACGGTAGAGAGGAGGAGAAAACGATATCGCCTAGGGCGAATGCTGATAGCAGATAGTCCGGTCTGTTACAGATACCACCAGCAACGTAGGTAATACCATCAGAAGCAGTGAGTTGATATGTGGCAATTGTGCTTGAGAGAATGGTAATGCTGGCTAGTGCACGCGCACAAGGTTAGTGTATACTGCCTAATGATTGATATGTGGAGTTTAACGTCCCAAAACCACTATATGATTATGAGAGATGCTTTAGTGGAGGGCTCGGGAAATTTCGACCACCTGGGGTTCTTTATCGTGCACCCAAATCTGAGCACACGGGCCTACAACATTTCCACCTACATCGGAAATGCAGCCGCCGCAGCCGGGATTCGAGCCCGCGACCTGCGGTTCAGCAGCCGAGTACCTTAGCCACTAGGCCACCGTGGCGGGGCTGTATAATGCCTAGGTATACAATTGACGTTACTGAATGTGACACCTGTGTCATAAGAATACATATCCAAGATTTTAATATTTTCATACCGCTGCTATAAAACGCTTGTACCGCTATTGCTGTTCTGCATGGGCTGCCATGTCTCTTTTCCTTTCTCCGTTCACTCTGCAACATTGCAGACGCTACCCGTTCACGACGTGCACTCGGCTGGCACTTTCTTTCACGTAGTGCAATTGGAAGTGCTGTTGGGACTGCATCGCACATGAGCACCGGGACACCGCGTGGTATTTGGACTTCGTCCCCGTTCACAGCATGCATGTTATCACGTAGAATATATCGGTCATCGAAACGCAGCTCACAAACCTCACATTAGTCTTCCAATTATTGGTTTGTCGCTGCGATGCACGTTCGTCTGCCAGCGCTTCGTATCGTCTTCATTTTTCGAGACGCTAAACAAGGACACTTCCCGCGTCACTTTGACGACCGAATGACAGGTGCGGCATCATAGAGCATAGCAGGGTTACTGACAGTTCTTCGGCATACTGGCCGTGGCATGGCGATCAAGAAAAAGCAATGAGTAGCGAAGCACACCAAACAATTGAGAAACCAACCAACCAACCAACCAACCAACCTCCCACTCATTTTCTACCACAGTTACCATGCGTCTGACTACGCGCGCTTTGGCGCTTCCCAAACCACCTCGACTGCAGTGCCGTAGCAGCAATTGTCCTTGTGCGGAGCGTCGTTTCATAGCATGGCTGCCGGTTGGTCACTAAGCCACTCAACCTTTCCAGTACAGTGTAACTTGACGTCAGCCTCCACTGCATTCGCGTCCGTACAAGCCTCATATTCAAATTTACATCGGATCCTGAACATTTTACAGTCTCTTACCGAGTCTTTTTGACTACAATCATCCTGCTGTATTGTCCCGCTCAATAACTACAAAACATGGCGTACGATGAACCCTACCCTAAGCAAAACGTCTAAGCACTACTACAAAATTTTGCGGGTTCGGTGAACGTGTACTCCCACCATTCGATGGCCGGAAAAATAAAACACACGCACACAAACAAGCAAATACCGGGTACTGACTCTTTCTACATCTGTACATTGTAATGAGTGTCACAAAAGTGTACACTGCTGCCTTATTAATTATAAAAAGCAAGCTCCAAATATGCAAGAACATTTATCTGCGCAGTCGTTCTGGTGCTCTAGCAAAAGACGTCCATCGACTAAGCCAGCCCGAACTTAACTTTATTAAACTCCCGAAGGGTGCCGCGCACCCTTTGGCGTAAGTATTAAGCGCACGTAGAACATCGTTTTCTCAAATTGAATTTCCTGTCTATCTATCCACTTCAATTTGAATTTTTCAAAAATTATTGAATTGGTTTCGCTGACGCTTTGTATGCGTGAAGTTAGAAACAGCCTTAACTAAAACAAAATGCTGACTTCATAAAAGGTCAAGCTGTAAAGAAAAAATCACACCACAATACGCTCCCTCTGAGGCCTTGCACAAGCGATTTCTTCATTTTTAACGAACTATTCATGAAAAATGTAACATTTTTTAGGCTGAGATGTATGGAGGCGGAAATGTAGGCCCCTGTGCTCAGATTTTGGTGCCCGTTAAAGAACCCTAGGCGGTCAAAATTTCCGGAGCCCTCCAATATGGCGTCTCTCATATTCATATGGTAGTTTTGGAAGATTAAACTCCACATATCAATCAATTAGTTGAGTTGTAACCTATGAGTCTCTACAAGAACACGGTTGCATATGCTTACATTCTTTCCGGTAGTTGAGAGAAAAGTACTTTCAATAGTTGAACTCTTTTAAAGTTGAAATTAGGCCATAGAAATGATAAGCAACCTAGACATACAAAACGGGTGTCACTTGATGCCCAGTGGGATTTATTGTGAGCACGTAAAATTTTATGGGAATACTTGCAGCCATTTTTAAAATATTACGCTAAAGCTCACATATACCATTTACCCTACCATACCCCCTTGAGTACAGGTGTACCACCAGAATTTGTCAACCAAGTCTCCGTAAAAATAATGGCTTCAAATGTAAACTCAAGATACTCTTGAAAATTTGTAAATAATCAAGTTGTTTTTATACTGATAATGTTAAGGTGTATTAGAGAGAAGTCTGGTTGGTTGGATCGAAATGGGTTATTGAATGTTCCTGATATGTATGCATCACACATGCTCATGTACGGTAAAAGAAAAAGATTAAAGATTGAATGGTGTTATCATTCGTTTATTTATCATAGGTCTTCATAACAAGAGATTCGCATAATATCACTATGTTCATCGTTCCTTGCTAAGATTTTGCCACCTGATGTCCAAACAAATGTCCATGTGTGCTCTTTCTTCTTCGCTATCGCTGCTCAAAGCGACTGCTTGTTGTGCCACGTTAAATGTTTATTGACGAAAATTGCACTGCCCAGCCCAATGAACTTGGTGCCAATTCTCGTTTACTTAGCCTTGGCGAGTATCAAGTCCCTCTTTGCACGCCTTACAAAACGAACAACTATAAGGTTAGCTGTCGAGGTTGAAGCGTCTATCATGGCAAATATCAATGCCCCTTTTATGAGCTGCATCGTAGAGTAGTGAACAGATATTTCGAGCGGCTACTCAACAATCTCTCTTCTGGAACACTTTTTATCTCAAGGTTGATACTCCTTAGATACCGCTGCAACCTTGTAAATTCAAAATCCGCTCTTTGTTCTCAACTTTTAGCTTTGACTCTCAGAGACCAAGTTTTAATTCATCTCTTAATGCTTTCAAGTCCTGTGTGATGCTTTTGGCGTTGCCACACGCTTCATTTCAGTGCTCAACTGATTTTTTTCTGTTTCCTGAGTTCAGCACGTAATTCTTGATCAAATTTTGCAAACAATGCACTCACAACATTTCTCCTATCCTTACCTTTACCTAGCGACATTGTAAAATCTCCCAGGTATGATCTCAAACACGTTCACGCATAGATACAAGAGCGACTGGCTTTTTCGGTGGCAGCGCGAATCTATAAAACAATTAAAAGTGAAATTTACACTCTCTTGCCTAAAAAATGCTGGTTTTTGTACAATTTTGCACTGTTCGATGCACTGCTGCTAATTAGTACGCCCAGGCTAGAGGGATCCGTATTTAAGCTATCAATCGCCGGAAGATGCAGACGCCCGCAGAAATGCTGGTCAAGGGTAGAGCCTTGGGGGGCGTACCAATCTTGTCTGCGGTGCTGGTTCGCCCAGCGACTTCTTGAGATGCCTACAAAAAGAAGCAGATTTTCATAAGCTTGGGCACTGTTCAATGCGCTGGTGGCGACAAGGCAACCACCAAATAAATCATTTAACTCAAGTACATCAATACGAAAAGAATTTTAATCGCTCGCCGTTAGAGAAAGGACAAAACAAGCCTTACCTGTGGGCGTTTGTTCGTGCAAAAAGGGGCGCAAGCAAATGTAAAAATAGTGTGTCTTGTTTTTCTTGTGATATGCCTGCATACTGAAAAAGGCAACATCACCTTTTTTTGCAGTGGTCGTAGCGTGTTAGTATTGTATTATTTCACGGCGATTGTTTAGACGAATAATTGATTTGTGTGTTGGTATTTGTAGTGTCTGTATTTTCATACTCCTTCCTTTGCAGTTTTGGTAAGAATCTGTCTGAATCATTGGCTTCAGAAGGCGAAACTAGCTGCAAAACGTATGTGCTAGCTTCGACAGGCATAGCTCGGATACTGTTGCTGCATCGATGGTTTAGTCACCGGAGAGCTTCGTTGGACGAGGGAGCCGTAAACAGGACGCGTCATGGCGACGGTGAACATGACACCACACCCGCAAGCTTTCAGTGTGCTTTCGTACACATTGTGGCGTGTCGGGCGACACCGCTACAGCGAGCAAATAAAGAAGAGGAAAACAAACGCGCAAGCTTCGAAGTTGGCCTTTGCACATCGACACAGTGATGCTACCAGAGCGCGCGAGAGCGGGCTCACCATGCAGTTCCCACGGTCCTAACTGGGAACGTGACGACCAATGGTGGCCGTTCGCGTTGCAGCAACTCTGGTGGCCAAGTGAAGCAAAAGATAGAAGCAAAACGATGGCGTTCGTTGCCGAGTGTGGGCGCGTGATGACGCTTTAGTTCTCAGCAGAGCTTTCAATTCACCTTGAGGGCTTAGATATTGTAACCATGGCACATGAATGACTAAGTTGGCAGAAGTGCCCTTCAACGGCAATCTTCAAAAGCGAAAACAAAGGTTGCTGACAGAAACACGAATCGGATGCCGCAATTCTACCATGTTATCGATAGTAGCGCCACCACGTAGCATTCACCATTCCTAGTTGCTGCAGCATGGCCACAACTCTATAGCGTAGAGTGTGCGCACTGCCCTTAACTGATCAGGAAAGTTTCGCGCCATACAGCTACTTGATCCTCAGGCCGAGCATCGCTGTGGACGCGGCAGACGCTACACCGACTTGTCACGCTTCGCCATGGAGGCTCACGGTCAAGGTAAATACTCTGTTTTCCTAACTAGCGGATATTTTGTCTACCAGTACAAGTTAAAAAAAGAGATAAATCTGTGTTGTATTGGTGAAACTATTTTGGTGCACGTGCAGCCGGCAAGCTGCGCTCGCAGTAGGAGCTTATGTTTTCGAGGCGGGTGTTTTTGTGACGTGGTCATGCTAAATATTTCGGTTGAGAATCCTGTCACTCTTCAATGAAAACAAAGACTGTATTACCTATATGCGCAGAGGATAGCTCAAAAGCGTCCACGTGCCGATGACCCTATATAGAGCCTTCCGAAATGCGTGAACAGAAGAAACTCGATGGAATAAGTGGAAGCTTCGTGGGAGCAGAGCATCTGTACGTTAGATTCTAGTCCTCATGCGATACCCAAAAGAGCAACTTAGTTGGCACACCTGAAGGAGCATTCGCCGGTCGTTTAGGTGTGCCACGTGTGTTGAGCTACCATACCCAGTGAAAGTCCCAGCATCACGACCATGAATTTGTTATACAATATAGTTTTTCACGGTGCTGTGCAAGGCGATAAACCTGAGAAGATGGCTACGCTACAGTATAAAACAATGGTAATATGCATGTTTACAGGGCTTTTTTGTTCTGCAAAGCCCACTGCGGTTGCTGATGACGATGGCCTACATGTATCACCTGCACTCACTAGGAGGATTGGCCAAGAAACAAATAATTACATAGAACGAATGTCCTAATAATTGTATATAAAATCCTTTAAAGAATGGTTAGAAAGAAAAATGTTTCTAAGTCAGAGATTTGTGATGATAACCATCTTGATTCGATTAAGGGTCCTTCTGCAGAAGAACTGACATCCCAGTGGCAATGAACTAGTGAGGTGACTCTCAAGGAGAGAAAATTTGAAATAGTGAAATTCAATCTAATTTTCTTGACAGCCACTTTAAAACTCTTCTTCCTGAGTGAACTCAAGTGGCTACACGATAAAAAAAAATTACTCTATTTCTTCATCCTCGATTCAAAATGAGCAAAGAGGGTAAGCAGCCAGACTAGCTCGATGCATAATACTTTATTTTGGAACTCGACAGCGTAATTTCAAAAAAATAACTTCTTCACGTGTTGACTAGAAATTCCTACACTCGGAAAAAAGGTATCGATATTCACTTAGGTGACTAATTATGTTTTACCATGGACTTGGATTACAGCACATTTTCAAATTTTGTCCTGTATTATGAGAGCTGATGAGCGGATCATTCAAAGTATTTGACCAGTGAAAGTGGTTTTCGCCACAAAGTACACCATTTCACTCATGTTTATCCACTTGTGTTCACGAACCCAGAATAATGTGAATTAACTTTTATGAGTGGGGATCAGAAAATGAGACTTGCGTGGTAATTGCAAATCGCTATTTTAAACGAGGGCTGATCACAAAGGTAACGAATCTGTAACAGTGGCTACACTTAAGGTTTGTGGGCTTGTTTTTGTTAGTGTCGTCATCACCGCGAGAAATTTCGCCCAGAATATTGAGACAAATTGATGAATTCCTAATGAGAATGATCAGTTAAAAGTCCCAAAAAATGTCAATGCTAGATTTTTCTTTGCATTTCGAGGCATCTGTATGCGCTGTGATGTTTGTTACAATTATCATCTCTAAATGCTGTCGCAAAACACTATTTGATAAGCGTGAAGGCAATTTCGCATTGTTAGAATATATACAGGGTGTCCCACACAACGTGAGCCAAGAATTTGAAGCTGAAAGACACTTCAGTGGCAAATTGAACCAAAGACGTACTACTCTTACTAGCCTGTAAGTACTCAGGCTTTTATTTTTATTTCTCCCGATACTATTTATTAAGAATATTTAATTATCTATTTATACATATGGCCTAGAAACCCTAACTATGAACACTGAGACTTAGAGCGCTTTGAAAAACCACCAACGAAATTGTTTCCTGTACGATACGTCAAGCGCTGTTATTTTTTCCGTGTTGTGAAGAAAGCCCATTGCAGCATTATAGCTGTGCACTCACGGTCCATCACACGGCTTCTTTTGACATTTCTCGGGCTTTCTTTACAACGTGGAAAAAATAACAGTGCGAGAGGTATCTTCAGAAAACAATTTAGCAGGTGGTTTCTGAAAGTGCTCTACGTCTCAGTGTTCGTATTTTGGGTTTCCAGCCCGTAATAAAAAATAAGTAGTTAGGAATTTTAAATAATTAGTATAGACAGAAATAAAAAATAGCCTGAGTACCTAAATGCTAGTGCGAGTAGGACGCGTTTGGTTCAATTCGCCTCCTAAGTGCCTTTCACTTTCCAATTCCTCGCTCAAGTTATGTGGCACACCCTGTAAAACAAAATTGAATTCAAGGTTTTGTCTTGCATTGCTGATGGAATAAATATTGCTTAGTTTAACATCTAATCGACTAACAGGTGACTACACGTAGCCCACCTGCGGAGTCGCAAACCGACGCCAATAAAATAATAAAATACTCTGGCTGACACATTTATATATGTATATTTTCTTAGGATACTCAAAAATCTTGAGGAACGTTTGTGCCGTTAGTATGCTATATCCACATAAAAGAGAGGGGAACCATGACTCGAAGTACAGAACATAATTGGCGACAAATTTCGGTAACCTAAGATATAACCTTCGGGTCTGTCTTACGAGGGGTACGAGAAGACGCATTTTTTAGCTGGTGTGACTGCGCTATGCAATTGCTTTCTTGTTTCATTTGTTCTTGATCTGCTTCTCATAAAAGTAAATATATATTGCCGTGAATCGCCTTTTGCCTTCTTCCTTGTTAACTTGACTTGCGTGTTTTAGCGTATCCTTTGCTGAAAAAAAAAACGCCTCGTGGCCGTGAAAACGGGAATGTCCCCCAAATTTGTATCAAACACCGTTTACGTTTTGTTAATACTTTACAGTAATGGCACTAATAACCACCTTTTTAATGATTGACGGTGGTCTTGCGCTGTTTTTTTTTTGCGGTTGGGTCACTCTGCTAGACTGTCAGTGGTTCGTGACCATTCTGAGGAAGGCAAATTCGTTCCTTTCGTCGAGAATTGTGTTCACGCTTGAATCCCACTTTCGGAGACATTGAATTAAGGCTGCCGGTTATGGTTAATGTGCGCCGAATCGACTCCGTCTGGCTACGAAAATTTCAGTTTAGCGCCTTGACTATTGTTTGCTACATAAAAACGTGTTTTGGTACATTTAAAGGTCAATGTCAATATTGTTTGTAAGTAAAAAAAAAACAAGCAAGCCTTGGGATTATACCCTTGTTTTCAACCTTTTGTCACGTCAGCCGAAACTCCCGAGTGCCCCCTTCGCACCCTGGCAGCGCAGTCTGGTGCGCATTGAGGCACACAATGCATGGTGCGCTTGTGTGAAGTCGGAGTGACGAAGTGTTGCGCGATTCGGTAAACGCGTAGCTATCACACGGCTCACGCTGCCTGCTATATGTTGTGACGTGACTTTTTATTGCTGATAGCGCAGCACACGTTCTTGCGCGACAATGGCAAAAATTATACAATCTCCCACTGAAGGGAACCATGTGTAGATGTGAACAGATGAAGGCAGATTGCAGGTGGTAATACTATTTCAGGTCTTCATTGCAAAACCGTATATATATATATATATATATATATATATATATATATATATATATATATATATATATATATATATATATATATTGTAACAGCGAGCTGTGATAAGATGGTTTTATTTACAGGAGGTGAACGATGGTCGTTTGCGGCAGCACACTGCGATCGTGCCAAGACTCTTCGTCTTCCTCTGCTTCTTCTCTCTACCCTTTTCTAGTCTGTTACACTCCCCCGCAAGCAGACGAAGCCCGTAGGGCGAGTTATGATGCACAAGGAGGGTGGAAAGGTTTCAGGCGAGCCACGTGAGTGAGCTGCGTTCTGCTTGATCGTCGACCATTGGACAAAAGACGAGCTATTACGTAAGTGAGCTGGCTTAGACGCTCCAAAACTACAAATGGGCCCGAATATCGTGACAGAAGCTTTTGACACAATCCACGCTTGCGTTGCGGTGTCCAAAGTAACACCAAGTCACCTTTTTCGAATAAAACCGGTTCGGGACGGTCATCATATCGTTCCTTCGAACGACGTTGAGAGGCCAGAGTACGAAGACGAGCGATTCGACGGGCTTCTTCCGCGAGGCACAGGGTGTTTGATACAGAGTCGTCATTGTGTAGAATGAAGGGTAAGAAAGTGTCTAGAGGGCTTAGTGGCAACCTTGCGTACAACAGATAAGATGGGCTGAAATTCGTTGTTTCATGTTTTGCCGTGTTGTACGCGTACGTGATAAAAGGCAGCACTTCATCCCAATTTTTATGATTGGAAGAAACGTACATGGCAAGCATGTTGGTCAGCGTTCTGTTTGTCCGTTCAACGAGGCCATTCGTCTGTGGTTGATACGGTGTGGAATGACGGAACTGTGTCGTGCACATGCGTAGTAATTCTTCAACGGCATCGGCAGTGAACTGGCGGCCACGGTCGCTGATAATAACACGCGGTGGGCCATGGCGAAGGACCACGGAGTGAAGCAAGAAGTCCGCCACGGATGCCGCGGTAGAAGAGGGAATAGCTGCGGTTTCGGCATACCGCGTAAGATGATCGACGCAGACGATTATCCAACGCTTCTTATTGTTAGATAACGGAAATGGACCCATAATGTCAATTCCTACTTGTTCAAAAGGTGTGCTGGGTGGTGTTAATGGCTGAAGGGGACCTGGTGTAGCGGTGGCCGGGCGCTTGTGACGTTGGCACGTCTCGCAGCTAGCGACGTAACGCTTCGTTGTTTCGTACATCTTGGGCCAGTAAAAGCGTTCCTGCGTGCGGTTCAGCGTTCTAATGAAGCCGAAGTGACCGGACGTCGCATCGTCATGCATGGCACGTAGAACTTCGGAGCGAAGGCTCTCGGGGACAACTAGAAGAAAACGTGCTCCAGGTCTAGAGTAGTTAGTTTTATAGAGCAACTTGTCTCGGACCGTAAA